AGGGAAAATGTGTGCGGCGACGCAACCACCACCGCACCGCACCACCGTCTATACCACATGAACCATCAACCACCACAAATTAAAACAACCAACAAACAATTGAATAGCTCACAAATCAAAACAACCAACTGAAAAGGGAGAGAGGGGAGAAGAGGCGGGGGAGAGGGAAGGGGAGAGGTGACGGCTTCAAATCGCTCGACGCTCCATCGACGGTGGCCGGACGTCGGTAGATGTTGTCGCCGCTTGTTGTCGTCGATTGGGGTGGGAGAAAGACGGTAGAGAAGAGAGAAAGAAGGTAGGCCCGTCAGAAGAGAGAGAGGCGACGGGAAAAGGCGGGTAGAGAGAGAAATAGGGAGATGAAAAATGATTTAGGGTTTTGAATTGGGTAGGGTGAGAATATTGTTTAATTTTTAAATCAATACCTGAATTTTGATCAAAAAATATTCTCACTTGATTTTTGCACTCTAATCTTTAAATACCTGATTTTTTATAATTTCTCTTGGGATAAATTGTGGTAGCCCAAAAAACAAAGTAGGAGAGGTGACGGCTTCAAATCGCTAGACGCTCCATCGACGCAGGCCGGACGTCGGTAGATGTTGTCGCCGCTTGTTGTCATCGATTGGGGTGGGAGAAAGACGGTAGAGAAGAGAGAAAGAAGGTAGGTCCGTCAGAAGAGAGAGAGACGACGGGAAAAGGCGGGTAGAGAGTGAAATAGGGAGATGAAAAATGATTTAGGGTTTTGAATTGAGTAGGGTGAGAATAATATTTAATTTTTAAATCAATACCTGAATCTTGATTAAAAAATCATTTTTGCACTCTAATCTTTAAACACCTGTTTTTTTATAATTTTCCCCATAAGTTTGCTTCTTAGTTCAGATAAGAAAATGGCAGTGTTAAACTTTCTACTTTATTTTCATCAAGTATATAAAATTATTTATTTTCACGAAATATAATACTGGATGCAAAACTTACTTTAAACACCCGATTGTAAGATTAATAGTTTCCTTTTTTCATTCCCATTCTTTGTTTGTCTCCTCCTCCTCCTTGTTTTTTATTTTTTATTTTTCATTTTTTTTTGTATGAAGATAAAGCAAAGTACAAAAAAATAATAAATAAATAAATTCAACTAATGAACCTTATAAGGGCCATCTAGAAATAACGAATTAATCGAGATCGATAAATAGCACCAAATTTTATTTAGAATTTCCTTTATGTTCACAAAGTGGTGTTCGTAACAATTTTTAATGTATATAAGATCATAATGTTCAGCCATTAAACTAAGTAGTGACAATCTTCGAGTAAAGCTTTGTTGATATTTCGTGTTATGTTTGTATCTTTTATAGGATATATGGGCTCAGTTGAATCAATTCCAAGCTGTATATTGGGGAAATTGGCATATTACTCTAAAAAAAAATAGCAAATTAGATTTATACCCTAAAAAGATTAAAACATTCTCACACCGTATTTAATACGTTCATCTCCTTCCTCCATATCATAATCCGCAACCACAAATCCCACCCCAGTCGACACCGGAACCTTGACCACCACGCTCTCATCTCCATTTTTCATAACATCGCCTTTCAATTTTCTTTATTCGACTTGAATTTCATCAATTCCTCCTCCTTCTAGTTCCTCATCTACTTCCTTACACATTTTCTCTATCTCTTTCTTGCTACGGTGGCGATGATGCTTTCGATGTTGGAAGGCTCCTCCAAGTCTTCGGATGTTGGGAACATCAATCATGCAAGATGTGCTAGTATTTAGCAAATGAGGCAATATTATTATTTCAAATTTGGGATTTCTGCTTACTCAGGAGTTTTTTGTTATTATTAGCCCCCGTTTGAGTCCCATTAAATTAAATTCCATTACATTAATTTTTTCCCTCTCTTCATTTCACCCACACATTCATCAAATAAAATAATATTACAAATAAATCTAAAACTCTTCAGCTACACATTCCCCCATCAATCGCTATTCTAAAAATTTTCAACCCCCAAAAATGGGGGCCAAACATGGGCTAATTTCAATTCTAGGTTTTTGTTTCTCACGTTCAATTTTCTTGATTCTGCTTTAGTTCTTATTTTGTGGGCTATATTTTGATGATGGGTTTGAACATGAACATGAGGCAATTAATTATTTTAATTTATTTTCTTGTTTCTCTATTCATTTTACAGACTTGAAGCATTTCAGCAGTAAATCACTCATCTTGAATTCAGAGTTATTTTCTTTCTGGGATACAATTGAAAGAAAGAAAACTCTATAAACTTTCACCTTTTTCAATACACACATTGCTTTACATTTTATTAATGTGAATGAATGAGATGGGGATCCTTTTCCTTTTCACTAGAAATTTTGTTTCTTCTTACTTGATTGAGCATCGAATTCGTATAAGATTAACTTAAGTGGATGTCAATAAGTTGTTTGAGTTGGTAGATGGTGGTGGTATTGAATTCACTTAAAGATGTTTTGCGTTTTGATTGGTGTTTTGTCGATGAACTGACTTCAATGCTTTTGGATGAACGAAGAAAGAGAATGGACAGTGGTCGTGTCAAATTTTTTTTTTCTTTGTGACACTTGTGGAACTAATTCCAATGTTTTAATTACTATCTTATCATTTATTTTAATTTTATCACTTTTTTAGCGTTTGCCATTGTTTTTTGAATTTCTGTCATTTTTTTAGTGTTTGTCACTTTTCTTTTGAATTTTTATCCCATTTTTTAGCGTTTGTCATTTTTCTTCACTTTCTTGAATTTTTCGTTTTTGTTTTTTTTTTTATTCTTTTGAGTGAGAAACATTATTTTTTAGCCCATGTTTGACACACATTCTTTTAAAATATATTTCATAACTCATTTTTAACCACACATTTTTCAATAAACAATATTTTCCATCACATCAATAATTTTTCTTACTTTTTAACCACATATTTCTCATCATATCACTATTTAAAATACATTCTTTTCTCAATAATATCCATCAAACTCACTCTTAGTGAAAGTGTAATAAAAAAGTGATATTGAGTCACATTTTTTTATAGAAAGTTTAATAAAAAAATGATACTTAACAATGTGTCACTTTATTAAAAAAAAAAAGTAACACTTAATTTTATACAGTATTTTATTAAAAAGTGACAAATTAATTTTATATAGTATTTTTTACTTTTTTTTGTCGGCTTTCTTGAAATTTTCGTTACTTTCTTGAGTGATAAACATCACTTTTTAATAAAAGTGATATTGTATTTCATTTTTTTTATAAAAAAAGTGACAGTTATATTTAAAAAGTGACACTTAATTTTACAAAGTATTTTTACTTTCAAATACTTTTCATATGATTTTTCAAAAGAACTTTAATTTTATAGGTATTTTTGTAAGTTGACCCTTCATATTTCCCCATGCTTTCCCCTTGACGAATTCTATGCCTATATATAGCCCAAAGCCCGATTGTTAAACTTGTCCACTATTTTCCCATAAACCTATCATCCATTTTTCTTCATCATCTTTAATAACTCCTTCGATTCTTGAAGGTCTTGAGTTTTCTTTAGAGTATTGAACAGTATATAATTTGATTTTACTTGTAAGACGAAAAGCCAATTGATTTTTGCTCTCTTTTAAATTCGATTCCGTCCCCTCTATTGAAAAAGTCTTTGGAATCTCCTTTGAAATATCTTCTCGAGTTGTCCAAGTTTATAGTTCACGCGGTCTAGTCTTCACCATGTATGAAGTCAAGAACTGGGTGGTGCACCATTGAATGAGATTTTCAGCCATGTCCACTTTAATTGGACTTTTCTAACACCTCCAGTTATTGTAAGATCCAAAATAGAATCTCAACCCCAAATATAAGGGATGGTTCTCTTTATATTTCAATTTTGTGTTTTGTGTTTTGAATTTATTTTGGATTTTATGTTTTGAGTGTCCATTTTGAAATTGTTGAAAATATGTTCTTTTTGACATTTTGAAAAATTGTTTTGAAAATACCCAAAACGCTTTTTGAAAATTTTGACTTGATTATAACTGAAAACACCTTATCGTTTTGGGTTTTCTTTGTGAATTTTTAACTTGTTTTCAAAAACACGTTTTCGAAAATAGGAAAGAGAACGCATTTTCATTGTTTTGAAAAATCGAAAACAGAAAACGGCTTGAAAATGGTTATATTTTGATATAAAATTTTGCCCTCTTTAATTTTGCTAAAAATCATATTTTTAGTAAATTTCATTAAAAGTAAATGAAACGTGTTGTTAAAAAATTGATAAAAGTGATGGAAAAATAAGTTTGAAGAAAAATGAACGTTAAAAAATGAGGATCAAACATGAACTTAAAATAAATCAAAGAATCACAATTTTTCATTTAATTCTTTCATAGCTCTAGTCAACACATAACTTTTCTATTTAATGTAAATGTTACATTTCGAAAGTCTAGCGTATATTATGAGCCTATTTGGTACAAATTCTTATTTTCTACAGTAAATCAATTCTCATTTTCAACCACACATTCTTCAATAAAATAATATTTTCCATCACATCAATACTTTTTTCTTCTTTTTCAACCACACATTTCCCATCATATCACTATTCAAAAATCAACATTTTTCATTAAAATAATATTTTCCATCACATCAATACTTTTTTCTTATTTTTCAACCACACATTTCCCATCATATCACTATTCAAAAATCAATTCTTCCTCCAAAAATCCCTACCAAACACACTCAATATTTCTATTATCATCGTTTATCCCAAACAAGCCGATTTTCCAAACTAAGGAAACATTTCTAGTATTTTCGGTTAAGTCCTTGAAATAATTGAAAGTTCTCATCTTGATCTTTAACCTTCTAAACTTCTCAATTAAGTCACAGATAAGATGATTCAAACTTCACGTATTATGACCTTCTAAACTACCCCTCCACCCTCTTCCACGCTAAAAGAAAAATGCTACATTTGTAATAATTTCTTGTCTAGCACGTCTCGATCAACAGAAGTACCTTACAATTTCTAGATTTCACGTGGCAAATATTTGGACTTAGGTTGAAATTGAATACGAATTTAAAACCATTGGTCAAAATCAAAATAATGCTAGTGGAAGCCCCTTACTATCATTATAATTTAATTCCCGTAATCAAAATTTTCCATAATCACCCATTAACACATCTCTACCGTCACTCTCTTCATAATCAACGGTTGAAAAAATTCAATTTCCAAATTAAAACCTTTTCTCCTTTTCGGGTTTTTATCTCGCAGATTATACACAGCACAGCTAAAATATATAAATCGGAATAAAATTCTGATGAGTCTTTGTCTATAGATCCCTAATTCTTATTTTTCTCTGAAACCCTAACGTTCTGAAGCTGATTTTGTTCAATTTTTCTCCGTATATTCCCTGATCATCTGTTGTTTTTTCAGTTCAATTCAATTCGAATTATTGGTAAAGTTTTGCTCCGTTGTTGTTATTGTGATTCTTGTGTTATTTTTATAGTTACTGTAGTGTCCAGCAAAGTGATAGATAGATTGATAACGCGCACGTGTTTATTGGGATATTTGGTTTTTGATTTCTTGGAGAGGAATTTTTAATAGGTGAATAGGGTATGGTAATTGGAGGATGAAAGATGCCGCTGCGTGGTGGAGTGCGCAGAGTTAGGAGAGGTGAGCCGCAGCCAGTGCCAAACAACAACAACAACAACAATAATAATCAGAATAATAATTATAGTGAAGCCGTTGAGGAGAACGCGGCAATTGCGACGAGAACAAGGAGAAGGAGGGCGGCTGCTGCAGCTGTTGCGGCACCGGTTGACGATAACACTGCACCAGCAGCGGCGAACGAGATTAGGGAGATTCCAGAGCGGGAGGAGAGGGTTTTGGAGCAACCAGAAAGGAGAGAACAGGTGGGAGAGAGGCCGATGGATGATTATGGTAGTGGTGGAAAAAGAGTCGACAAGGCTACTGCTGATGAATCATCAGCTGCTCCTCTTCCCGAAAGGGTGAGACCACTGTCCTTTATGCATCTATGTATATATGATCTTTCCGTGTGCTATATTTTTAAGATGTTTGTATTGCACTTGTGTTCGGATAGATAAAGCAAAAAGGGTTTTTCATGTGCTATAATTTTTATTTTGTGTGTTGCACGTTTTTGTATCAAGAGAACGGAAAAGATTTATATTCATAGTCCATTCATATTATTGTGATCCGCAATTGAAAGGTCAAATCTTTCTCTTTGATTAAGGAAGGAATTCGATGAATTTGTTTCTATATGCATTTCATTTTTTGATAACTGTTTAGAATGTGCTTTTAACAATTGCTGATTAAATTTTGTTACAAAGTTTCAAGTTTCTTATTCAGATGAAATGCTGGACATAGAGCATAAATGATGACTTGGATGATGGAAAAAAGTAGCTTAGCTTAGTATTATTTTGTGAACGGATATAACAAGTTAATAACTTCTCTGCGTTCTGTTGTGGTATTCCATTTGAAAGTATGATTAACTTTAAATTGTTTAATTGTCAATGTGACCGTGCTGTTGAATGTCACCCCAGTAATGTTTAACTGTCAATATCAATAATTATTGTCTCTCTGTTTTATGAAAAACGTATTTGAAAATAGGGCTGGGCATTTAAACCATTATGTGAGTAACACGTGCCATTTTGTTGTTATAGAATCATGTATCAGAACTTGAGACCTGTAGGATTGTGCTCTTGTATTGTTTTTTGTTTATGAGTTCTTGTCGTGGCACATGCTACTCTTAAGCTTTCTGTGATCTGTGGCTGGCGTGTGACATAGAGAGCTTATATTATATTGATTCTAGGATGCTGATGGCAAAGATCTTTGGCTTTTTTTTGAGGCTTGTGGTAGGGACGTAGAGAGCTTGAATTTTAGGGATTCCAAGATAGAGACCAGAAAGATCATTTGTTGTGTCTAAGGCTTGTCATATTGTTTTTTTTATCTGCTGCCCCAAAAAGAAAACTTCTGTGTATACTCCTGACTACAAAAAGCTTTTTCTTTCTTCAACTTTTCACCTCCTGTTAGTTGATTAATAGCCAACATCTGGTAGCTTCTTCAGTTCTTCCAAGGAGATTTTCAATTAGTGTATTGAATCTCTCAAAATTCAGGATTTCACTGTTCTCCTCTTTTGAGCCTAAGGGTCTTAACTCAACTTATATTGATCATATTAGTTACAGCCGTGGGGTCACATTTTCAATTAAGCAATTCTGTTGTGTTAATTGTTACTGTTCAAAAGCTTCTCTTCCATTCTTCACTGCAAACAAATTTTGGTCATCACCAGAAATCGATATGGACTTGTTGCAGCCATTTTTCTGTTTTGGAATTTTGGTTGTCTGCATCCGACATCTTGGCACTAGTATGTCTTTATAATCCTCAACAGCCTCTCTTTACTAGTTTAAAACTGTCACTAATTAAAATCTGTCTTTTCTCGTTGAAGGAAAGGTGAAAATTAGGATAAGCATTAATCTGTACCAACATGCAATCTTCATTTAAAGTTGATAAATGTTGCATGTTAAGTTTTCATGTTGAATATTCCGGTGTTCACAAAATATCTAGGTTTTACCATGTACTACTCTTTCCTTTCATGATGTCTCATACCCTTGAGTTATGATCCCATTTATTTTATAACTTGCACATATTGTTTTAGAAATTGGTAGGAATTTATAAATGTAAATATTACCAAAATTACATGAACAAACCCTAGTTGCTAAAGCCAATTCTTAATTCTTATGAGTAAAATTACTTGAATATCACCTGGATCTTGCTTGGTGAGCCAATTATTTTTATTTTTTAATCAATATATTTATTTATCAATTTGATTGGTTTTTGAGGTCGAATATATCTCTAGTGGTTCGTTTTTATCAATGTCATCCGAATTGAGTTCTTAGTATTTGTTTATATGTGCGTTTTGTGTCTTTTCCTTTTTTCCTTTTCTTTGAAAGTTTGAGGAAGTATTGCCTTTTCTTTAAGCATTAACTGTAATTTCTCAACTGCCTATTCTTCCACATACTCTTGCTTTATCACCACCGTTTCTCATTTTTTACATCCGTTTCTAGTTTTTTCAAGAGTGCACACAATGATATGCATGGCATACAGTTGTAAGAAATGCCTACGATTGTTATCAACTTAAACTTGTGGACTCATCAATTGAGGCAATTGAGTTTTTGGGGATTTGAAAGATTTGGAGTTATCAGGGCATTTTTCTTTCAGGTTAAGTAGGGTAGTTAAAGTTTAAAAAAAGGCTATATTTAGCTGATTTAAATCGTTTTTATTGGCTTAATTGGGGAAAGGATTCTTACTATAAACAACTGTCAATTATTCCAGAATAGAAATAAAGTTGAACCTAACCTTCTTATATATTTGAGAATTTGGATGCCCATATTGAGATTAATTGAGTCCCTATGGTCCCGTTAATACAGGTTCAGGTTGGTGGTTCACCAATGTACAGGATCGAGAAAAAACTTGGCAAGGGAGGTTTCGGACAAGTGTATGTTGGTCGCCGTATCTCTGGTGGTATCAGTAATGATAGAAATGGCCCTGGAGCCATAGAAGTATGTATACTGCATTCATATCGTGCTAGATTTAAAATTTTCTAGCTCTTTCCTCGAAAGAAGGGACATAATTACGTGTACTTTGCAGGTGGCTCTAAAATTTGAACATCGTAATAGTAAAGGATGTAACTACGGCCCACCTCATGAGTGGCAAGTTTATACGTAAGTAGTTTTTATATTATGCTGCAGCAATTGGAACTATTTATGTTTGACTGTACCATTCATATTATCTCATTTGCACAGTACTCTAGGGGGGAGTCATGGTGTACCACGTGTGCACTACAAAGGCAGACAAGGTGACTATTATGTGATGGTATGTTAATGTTACTGTTGCTCTGTCTTTTTTCTTCTATTACTCTTTCTACTTTGGAGCCAGTATTTATTACAGCATAAATGGATACTTGATTTCTGCAGGTCATGGATATGCTTGGACCTAGTTTGTGGGATGTTTGGAATAATAACTCTCACACGTGAGTATAGGGAAAACAAAGATATTAGCTATCTGATTTTAGTATTGACTGTTGATGTTTATCAGGTTTTGCTGGTGCTTAATTAAATCGTTTGGCTCATTTAATCCAGGATGCCCATCGAAATGGTGGCATGCATTGGCATTGAAGCAATATCTATATTGGAAAAGATGCACTCCAAGGGGTGAGATTCTTTCACTGGCAGGATGTTTCTATTGAGATGCATTAATCTACTTCCTTTTCTTTCATCAATTTTAACCATCACTCCTCAAACTTAACCTTAATTGTTTTCCGTTTCTTCCTGTTGTATTTCTTCTGTAATTTTTGCAAAGAATGCTAAAAGCATGTTTGGGAGTTGTTTTTAATCGGTTTAAATTATATAATAAATATATAGAAATGAGTGGTGCAAAAGTGGGTAGTACTTATGTGTCCCGTGAAATGTGTAGATAAAAAGTTGGTTGGCTGATTATAAACAAATTTATAACCAGCTGCCAAAAATGCTAAGTTTCCTTTTGATTTCATTTCTAGCATTGACATTTTTTGCTCATTTTACAGTAATAGCATGGAGTGTTTAGTATCTACTTGTAAATGTGGCATATAGTTAAAAAAAAAGAAAGGGGCGTGATATATGTGAAATGTATTAGATATAGTAAACATCATGAAGGCAGATGTAGTAGGGGTTGCAACGTGTACTGTCAACAATTTGGTTACTGTTGCGATAGTGCTTGTTAATGAGGAAAGTGTCTGGCCTGGAATACTAGCTTTGAGAGAGAGCGAGTCGTGGAATATAAAACGATGTGTAGCTTAATTTAAATCATCTAACCAAATGAAGTCAAAAGAAATTTTGTGTTGCTATGGTAACTTGTTGCTACAATAGCTTGTCTAATTTTCGACCACTTTATATTATTAACTTGTTTGGCTGTGGGGGAGAACATGTGGTTGTTCTCCAGTAAAGATCTTTATCGATGAAACAAGCAACACAAAACAAAAAAAATCTGCAGAGAAAGTAGCCAGATTTTCACCGCTGCTGTGAGTTTTGATATTCTGTAGCTGGTTTTTGGTTTCGTTTTGCTTGTTCCATTGCAGAAGACAATCGCTTTCTCCCCCACTGCCAAACAAGTTCATAAATGAGGTGGAAAAATTAGACAATCTTATGGTACAGTAGTCTGAGTAAACATGTTGTCCCTGTGCTGTTTCTTGGGTAAAACAAATGGCCTTATATGAGTTTTGTCTTGTGGTGAAGGTTTTCACATTACAACCCAAATAGTTATTACGTTTGGTTGAATATTTATATTACCAAGTTTAATTTTTCATTACTACAGATTGCTTGAACAATTGGTTTTCTTTGGTATAGGGTACTTTAGGCAGTGTAAATTTCGTTTCGAATTCATTACATTTTGGGACTGATTCAAGAGAGGAAAACAAAAGAGTGACAATAAAATGGATGGAGCATCCCATCAGTCAAAAGAATCAGTATTGGAGAATGTCATATTTTATCCTCTTTTGAATCTCTTAGATGTGTTGGAATATTACATTGCTTCAATATTGTCCTTTGCTCTTATATTATTGTGATACCATTTTATGTGCCTTTTTTTCTGGACATGTTGATATCAGCTAATATCTTAGGAAATGGTAGGTATGTTCACGGGGATGTGAAGCCTGAGAATTTCTTGCTTGGTCCACCAGGGACCCCTGATGAGAAAAAACTGTTCTTGGTTGATCTTGGTTTAGGTACACATATTCAACTCTTCCCAGGTTTCAGTTCATACTCCATAATAGTTTTAAGAATGTCATTGTAACTTCTGTTTGGCAATCAGCTACTAGATGGAGGCACAATACTGGTTTGCATGTTGAGTATGACCAAAGGCCAGATGTTTTCAGGTATGGTCGTTCAAATAAATTGAAATTTATCGTAGACCAAATCTTTTTTTAATAATATTCGTTCTGTTCTGTGATGACAAGTTCTGGCGGGAATGGTAATAATAGTTTTGTTTCTCTCAGGGGAACTGTTCGTTATGCCAGTGTTCATGCTCATTTAGGTAGAACTGGTAGCAGGAGAGATGATTTAGAATCTCTTGCTTACACGCTCATTTTCCTTCTGCGTGGACGTTTGCCTTGGCAAGGATACCAGGTTGGTCTTCTGAACTTCTTGGCTAAAAGTTAACATGCTCGGTTCTTTGATGTGCTTTTATTTGGCATTTTCCAATTACGTTTATGTCTTCTGCTCATGACTTTTCTGTTTTTCTTCTCTTGACATGATTATGTTCTCCATAGGGTGAGAACAAAGGGTTTCTTGTTTGCAAGAAGAAGATGGCAACGTCGCCAGAGGGTCTTTGCTGCTTTTGTCCTCAACCGTTCAAATTGTTTGTGGAGTATGTTGTAAATTTGAAATTTGACGAGGAACCAAATTATTCCAAATGTATATCCCTCTTTGATGGGATTGTAGGACCAAATCCAGATATCAGACCTATCAACACGGAGGGTGCACAGAAGGTGCTTATGAATTATTTATTTATTTCTCTTTTTCCATTAAGCCAACCCGTAAAAAAATCATTTAAAGACAGAACCTGTAAAACTTATTAACAGTTTGGCTGCATGTCTAATTTTATGTTTGGCAAATGAAGTTAACCTATCAGGTTGGTCACAAGAGAGGCAGGTTGACTTTAGAAGATGAGGTAGATGAACAGCCAAGAAAGAAAGTTCGTATGGGAATGCCTGCTACACAATGGATTAGTGTTTATAATGCCCGTAAACCCATGAAGCAAAGGTATATGGGTTTCCTCTATCATTGCAACTGATTGCCTTAGATGGCCTTAATTAAAATATTTCCTAGTGGCTAGTTGAATTTGTGCTTGTGTGACTTATTGCAGGATGTACCTTGACCTATTATTTTGTTTGGTTTCTCCAGAATATATATTCTCAACCACTTGTTCAGAATTGTAATATTGGTTTTTGCTCTACCTCCATCTTGAATTCCATGCTTTTGTTGTGTTGATATTGAAGGTATCACTACAATGTGATGGATACAAGGCTTGCTCAGCACATTGAAAGAGGAACAGAAGATGGCCTATTTATCAGTTCTGTAGCATCTTCTCAAAATCTGTGGGCACTAATAATGGATGCAGGCACTGGCTTTAATGCACAAGTTTATGACCTATCACCTTCTTTTCTTCACAAGGTATGTAAAAATTAAGGGCTATTTTCCCAATTGTTGGATTATTGATAAGCATCTGATGACGACAATATTAAATTTTCTGATTTTTTTCATGTGTATTTTGGATTACTTGTTAGGAATGGATAATGGAGCAATGGGAAAAGAATTATTACATCAGTGCAGTTGCAGGAGCTACAAATGGGAGTTCATTAGTAGTAATGTCAAAAGGTAAGTGTCTGGGTATGAATGCTTTATTACCGCTGTTTATTTTTCTTATTTGCTGGACATGACTCGAGATTTGAATTATTTAAACTCAGGCACTCAGTATCTGCAACAATCTTACAAAGTGAGTGATTCTTTTCCATTCAAGTGGATAAACAAAAAGTGGAGAGAAGATTTTTATGTTACCTGCATGGCCACTTCTGGTAGTAGATGGGCAGTCGTCATGTCTCGTGGTGCCGGATTTTCGGAGCAGGTTTCTTATGCAAAATCATCTTCCTTTCCAATGCGATGGTTTTTCCATTATGATAATCTTGGCTAAAAATATGTCCATTTTTTAGGTTGTCGAGCTAGATTTTCTTTATCCAAGTGAAGGTGTTCATCGGCGCTGGGATGCTGGATATCGTATAACTTCTACTGCAGCAACTTCGGATCAGACTGCTCTTGTTTTAAGTGTTCCAAGAAGAAAACCAACTGATGAAACGCAAGAGACACTTCGGACTTCTGCCTTTCCCAGTACACATGTCAAGGTAGAGCTATCATAAACAAGTCGGTTTTCTTTTGGGGTCCTGTTATATCCATTGCATGTTAATTTATGCAGATTAACAAACAATGTTTTGTTCTTGAATTGCAGGAGAAATGGGGAAAAAATCTGTATATTGCATCTGTTTGTTATGGCCGTACAGTTTCATAGAGCTGCTAGATTTTATATTGACCTTCCGTAATTTAAAAGATCAAGACTTACTGGGCAATCCAGCTGGAAGAACGAACCCGGGTCTCTGTAAAGGTAACCAGGTTATAAGGGTTTTTTAGTTGATGCAAGTTTTAGTTGTAGTTACAGTAGAGAAGTTAAATAGTTGGGCCTGATCTCTGTTGTGTGTATTTTGGTTTAAATGAAGGCTCATTTGCAGGCAATGTTGAAGATGGTAGGCATTTTTACTTATTGCTGTCAAATGTGTATAGTCCTTCGATAATAAGTCTCTGTATGGGCTTTAAACCCGGATGGTCTACTGTCTTGTTTAAATTGCCTAGCGCAGGCACTGGATGGAATTCTGATACTAATTCCAGTTTTAAGCTTATATCCAGTCTCAATTTCTCTCTCTCCCTCTCTTGAGTATCCAACAATCAGTTTGCTTGCTTATGTATCAATTCCAGTGCTGCTGTTCCTCGCGATATTTGCATAGCACAAATGAATGCTTGTGCATCAATGACATTGCTAATTCTTTCGCCGATGGATACTTGTGTACCATTTGCATTGTGGATGAAAACTAGTAAGACTGATCTGTGTGACTCTGCACGAGCTTGTAATAGCTTATAACCCAAGAAATTGTCATGCGGTCTTGCACGTCCAGTTTATGAAGCTAGGATTTGCTTTCCTACCTAGGCTGGGAGATGAAAAAACTTGAATTAGAGAATGGAGGTTACTATCATTGAAGAGTGATACTTCATCTAAGCTATAATTTTTGGGCATTTTGGTCTTTCTATTTTATAGAATAGATGTAATGCAAGAGCATGTTTGAAACGGATTGGACTCAAAAGGGAATAGGTTTGGGATAAATTTTTAGGAATTTGACATAAAAAGTCATGGGCTATAAATTTTGGGCAAAATGAAAGCAGTAATGGTTCTGTGTTTCAGCCGATGCTAGAATATTCCAGTGGAGTGAGTGGATAATGCACGAACAAGAAGGATACGAGGATAGTCCCAAAGGAAGTGAGCTTGGAGTAGATTCTTGGAACTTGATTCTAGATTATAGGGCCCTAAGCAGGGCACAATCGTTCATGGGAATATATTGACGTCCTACTTGATCGCTTGACGTCCAATGACTAGGTGAGCTGTTGCGGGCTGGCTCATCGCCATGTTACGATGCACCCGCACCCCACTTGTGTTCTATAAATAGACCTTCATTCCCTCCAGATGAAATAATAAAAAACATTCATCCAGAATACCCTTACTAAAAGGACTGGAGACTCAACATCGACTCACACCTTCGCAACCTACTAGAAAATCTTGCACCACCATCAGCATCACTTGACATTGCCTATTAAACGGCCTTAATATCAGTTACATAAGCTTAAACAAAAAGGTGAAAATGATTCAAAGCATTTTCAAAATAAAGTTTGGATCAACGACTGATGTACGATTTAAATGTAATAAATGAGTATAATAACTTGTTATATATAACGGCCTTGTAACATGTTGAAGTTGACAAAGTTAATAAACAATAAATGTGATAAAATTAGCCAATTATCTGATAGAAAAAAGGTTAATCGCTTCCCAGTAATGCTATATGTACAATGATGGTTGACAATATTTGTTAACAATCATGATTTGATATCATCACATTCATCTATTTCAAAAAATCTCAAAAACTGTTTTTTAAACCAACTATCCAGATTGTCACATTAAACACTGTTAACAAACCTTGTCAACCAACATTGTACAAATATATTAATGGGAAAATTGTAGCAACGGTCCCAAACCTGAGTTTTTAATAGATTTTACTTTAACCTTCAATTTGTGCCACTAGTGATCCCAGACCTTTGAAAAATTACCACCCGGGGGTCAAATGGACCGTTAGTTGACCAAGAAAATGTCTTTTGACCAAATATAAAGAGGGCAAAATGGTAAATTCGTCATTATTCCACATAAAATACTTTAAAAAAATTAAAAGGAAAATATAATTGTTCAACATCCTCAACCTACACCACCTACGCCATCCCACCCTTAAACCAATCCTTAACCCAACCCAACCCAACCCAACCCAACCCAACCCACTAAATCAAAACCAAATCAACTTGACACCGTCGTTGCCTTCTTCCACAGCTACCACCACTTGTCGTTGGTTTCGATGGACATTTTGTTGTGAAAGCGTTTGCTGGTCAGACGACAATTTCTCATTTAATAGATTCCCATTTTCTGGTAATAAATATCATCCCCAAGTAGAGGTATCAATCCGGGTGGTTCGGACCGGGTCGGCCTGCCAACATATGAGCCCGGTAATAGTCTACGTGAAAAAAAGTCCGCCCGCTATGGGTTCCGGGTCGGCCCACAAATTTTGGACCACAACTCAGGCCCGCCCGTTGATCCATCTAGGTCGAGCCCATGCGGGTCACGGGTAGCAGTTTATTCCGATTTGACCGTATGGTTGTATAAATAAAATTATAAAAATATAGAATTTTTCATATTTATAGCAAAAAATATATTTTTTTTGTTAAATGTAAACTAAGAATTGAAAAAAATGATAAATTCATAATTATAGGTATGCGGGTTGTTCCAAGAATTTTTTATATTGATAGCAAATTTTTTTTTTGGTTAAATGTAAACTAAGAATTGAACAAAATGATAACTTTATATTTATACCAAAAAATGTTTACATAGAATTCAAATTTAATGTTACATGAATTATTTATAACTTTGCAAAGTTAAATACTTAAATATAACTTAAACAAATAACAACTAAATGCATTTCTAATTACTATTATCAAATATTTATAACATAAGTACATCCCAACTTTTTTTCAAAATTTTTTAATTTTTTTTTTCACGGGCCAGCGGGTTAACCGCGGCCTGTGAAGATGCAATCCGCGGGTAACACCTCCTTGACCCGTGAACCGCCCGCTCAGGTCATGGGTCGGCTCGTGGTCCCAGGTCGATCCAAGTCGATTTTCACGGGTCTAGCCTGCCCGTCCGTCTTGACACCTCTTATCCCCAAGCACTCCCCAAATGAGAGAGTGAAAGAGTTTTTCAACTGCTAAGCCATATTAAGCTTCTCATCTGCCCAAGACAGTTGCAATGGCTACCCTTGATGCCATGCTCTATTCCTGTTAACCAAAAATTATGTATAAAAAGTTAAAATCTGTTTGCAATTTGAATTGATTACAATTTCTCGAAACCACAACTTCTATTGGTACACTTTTTTCTTCTCGAATTTTAAACAATTTGACCGTTGACGCATGGAACGAATTGGAACTGATTCCCTTTTGTCAAAAAATTTCCTTTCAATACTTGGTTTTGGGACAAGCCAGTTGCCTTTTAGGCTTAATGGAGGACGCAATTGTGCTCTCCAGCTACCGCCACATTCTAAGGGTTGGATTGCGTTGAGTTGGGGGGGGGATGAGATTTGGGTTTGGTGGGGTGGGGTGGGGTGGGGGTAAGGAGGATGAATATTTCCAATTTCCTTTCAATCTTTTTTTTTTGGGTTTTAATTATTTTATGTGGAATAGTGACGAATTTACCATTTTGCCATTTTTAGATTTGGTCAAAAGATATTTTCTTGGTCAAGGACCTCGGGTGCTAATTTTTCAAAGGTTTGGGATCATTAGTGACACAAATTGAAGGTTAAAGTAAAGTCTGCTAAAAACTCAAAGGTTTGGGACCGCTGCTACAATTTTTCCTAAATTAATTCCTCCACTATTGTCCTTGCTCGTTTGTTGCAAAAAAAATGTTGACTTTTAGAATCTCTCTTCTTATTGTCTTATTCTGTTCATTTTATAACACTGTAAACATTTTCCTTTTTTTTAAAAAAAATTAATCTCTAGGGCTATTATTTTCCTAATTTTTAATCATTTCCTATTTGTCTCCTCACAAAATTTGGCATTGAATTGGATTTGAACCTTTTAATATTTCCCGATATAATATGGTGATTTGAACCAATAACAAACTACATTTTTTTTTTGGAGCGTACGGAGGCGGCAAAACCTTTTTTTTTTAAATATTCTTTTGTGTTGACAATTAAAATGACCTGATAATTATAGATTAACTTAAGAGAAATTTTACAGAATAGTAATGTTTAGTTTGCTGAAATATTGTGAAGAAAATATGACTTTTATTATAAACTCTTTAATACCGTATTACAGAGGAAATACTTAACTCGTTGTTTCCTGGGGACCATTGCCCCTTTATATATGCACTTCAATAGGAGCTTGCTATCCTCTGTATAGTCAAGCTACAATGTCTGACCTCAATTTTGTGCTATCGTCCTACCTTAAGAGGTTTAGTTGGTTGAGAACTTTGATTAGATTAAATCATCATGACACCTAAATTATATTACGGAGTATAAATCATCAATACATATAGTCTTGACAATCATTGTTTCTTTTGATTGGTGGACATGACGACACTAAAGGTGACACCAATCTGCGTATGATTGGCTATTGTAGAGGCGTTTATGTCACTTGAAAACATTCACTAAGTGAATCCATTCATTTATAAGCTCTTTTAATCACTTTCAAGGTGAGTCCGAGGAATCCTTGATATCGGACTCCGACATCACGTTTTTGGATCTCAACACGAGAAAATGTAAAATGTAAAGGGTGAAATATACCACACACTAAAGAGATATACATTAAAGATATGCACTTTGTTAATTATGACACTTGAAAATTTCGACTCTCGATATATAATAAATTCAAAGTGAGAATTGGTGGAAATGAGTAATTCATAGAAAAATTATGGGTTGTTGGCCAAGTGAAATGGTTGTCATATTCATCTTTACCTTCGAAGACCTACCATCCTATTACACGTCTACACTGTCCATTATTTCATGCCAGAAAAAATAAAATAAATTTCAAAAGATTAGGGCAGTACAAGAACATGTTCCATTCCGACTTTATGAAATGAAACCTCGTTCGATTATATCACATCATATCATCAATTTTATCTTGCATAAAATAAAAAGAGATTCAATCACGGATTATCTAGATATATTAATCGACTACGTCCTGAGAATTTTTACCGACAGGACATAGGTTCTTATTTTTTGTGTATGTATTACCTCATCGACGGATTTAAAGATATCTATGCTACTATCTTAAAGGACAAAACTTACCTCTCATAAATACAAGAATATTAACTAACATATGAGGATTTGAACTACACCTCTTAACAAAGTTAACATTTTTAAGATGAAACTCCAAATTTTAATATGATATCATATCTCTTTAAACTCCAACGAGCAATTCATCTGACTAAGATTAAAAAATAAGTACACGAATTTCAAAATTGATATGCTTAACGAGGCACCATTTTGAAGGGGCATGTTAAGGGATAATTTCACACGGATAAATACAAGAATATTAACCAACATATGAGGGCTTGAGGTACTACTCTTAACAAGGTTGATATTTTAAGGTAAAACCTCAAGTCTTAAAGGTTATGCTGATGAGTTATTCTAGCGTCTATCGTGTTTCTTAGTGACCTTATCACAATACTTGCTGCCCTTGCGTCAAGCCCTGAAGTTGGCTCGTCCTTAAATATGATCGAGGGATATTTGTGTGTGAATTGGTAGACATGGGGGTGATATTTTCTATGCTATTGATATATTTCACGATGGGTCGATCTTTACATTGTTACTTTTAAGCCATTTGTACTCAACATAAGAAGCTCCGTGACTCAAAACGTTTTTGCTTTTTTTATTTTTGTACTTGGATTTCACTCGTGAATTGGATTTGAACCAATATCAAACTACTGATATTTTTAATATTTCGTGTTATAATATGAATTTACGATCTCAAAGCAAAGTAAGAAAAAGTAACATGTAAATTATTAAATAAAACTGCATTCACTAATACAAGAGAAACAAAAATTAAAGATATACGCTTTTTTAATTATCACTTTTGAAATTTGTCGACCCTCTATAACATCATATAATAAATTCGAAGCGAAAATTGGTAAAGAAGAGTAAAAAGTACAGCAATTACGATTTGTTGGCTAAGTGAAATGATTTTGTCATCTTTGATAGAATTCGTAACTTTAGGAGGAGAATAGAGGAAAGCCATAGAAATGCAGTCTTCATCTTCACCTTTGAACATTGGCCTCCCAATTACGTGTCTATACTGTCCATTACTCCATGTCTGAGAAAAAAAAAAGGAAAAAGTTCCATAACAAATTATGGTCGACTCAACGACAACAAGTCACATTAAAGAAGAAGGCTCGTGAAACTTTATCACGTCTTATCGTGATTTCTCTCCCACGTAAAATAAAAAGAGATTCAAGAAAAAAGTTGGGCCATCTCTATAATAATTTTTAACAAAAAAGAAAGTGACCACACAAGGCATAAAGCTATGGAAATATCAAGTGTAAAACTTGTGAAGTATGATTGCTAAAGTCCTACATGTGGGGTTTTACGAACTGCACGTTATCGTACACAACTTATAATATGTATCATAAAGTGCATCGAGCCGTTTATATTAAGAAACACGCTACGTGTACAGTCGTTAGTGGCCCCACACTAATTAGTGTTTTACAGTCCAGTAATGATTGTACAAGTGACTTTTTTGTTATATTAATAGAATTTCTGCAGGAAAAAGAATATTAATTAATGGGAGTCATCATATCATAGTTCAATACCTTCAAAAAAAAAAAAAGGGCTAAAATCTTGTTCGAATCCCGATTAATAGCAAATTTACCTGCAATTGATCTCCAACGGTGATTACAATTGCACCTTCGTCGGGGCGAAAAGAGGCCCAACCTTTCTTAGAGTAAACATGGAATTCTGTGGATCCACTGCACAAGTGCAAGCACAAAGCATGAGGGAATTCTGAACCCTTGATCAACATTCTGATCACATCATATTTGAGGGAATCTGCACATTCATCACCGTCCATTTTCTTGCAATGTTTGTAGATGTAGCAGATTGATCCTGTAATTTCTTGATTTTCCATTGTTATATCAGAGAATTTTCTTGAACTATTGTTCTGCAGGAACAGTAGAATTCTTGAAGCCATTTCTTCAATCTTGGGCAAAAGATTTTCCATTTTCTCACTGTAAAATTTTCATTTGTCATTAGGATTCTTCCGGTCGAATGCATATTAAATGGATAAATTTATTCTTCCTCTAACAGAGTTCAAATTTCAAAATTGTATGCATACCATACTTTTCAAATATTTCTTCAAAACCCGGACCATATCGATAATAGGGTAGGTAGTTGTGATCATGAAATTGTTAAATGGTGCAATTTGATCTGACCGTTGAGTCAATTCGTGAGTTTTCAAGCTACACGAACTGATCAGATCTACAATCTATTTGTAAAAATTATGCACGGCGATTGTTAACTAGTTCATTTGCAAAGCAATTTGACAAATTTTGGTTTTTTTGGTTATGATTTGTTCATCTAATCATATTCTTATAACTAAAGAACTATAGATTAATTGTACGAAGAAAATTAAGTTTTGAGATAAAATCGATCAAACTGAATTTTGAAAAATAATGAATGAATCCTAGAATGGAAGTGATTTGATTACCTGAAATTTGAATATCCAATTGGCCAAATTCCCTCCATTTCTGCCTTCAGTGCTTCATCTCGATGCCATAGAAATTCCTCATTCGTCTCATTCTCCTCCTCTCCATGAATCTCTTCAAATCCGTACGGCCTCTCAGGCGACCTCGCTGCCATTTTCTTCTTCTCAGGCGAGATCCCAAAAATGCCGGCGCCGGCTGCCAGAACCGATTGAATTAAATCCTTTGAAATTCCATGATTAATCACTTCCAAGCAACCGACCTGAGCAATCATCTCCACAACTTTCAATTCCGCCCCATTTTCAATCGATTCAAGTGACTGCATATCAAGTTTCAGAGGATTTTGAATGGCTTTTTGACGAGGAAAAACTCTATCTGGTAAAATAAGATCTGGAACTTTAAGTGAATTTTCGAGGAATTCCGTTAGAACTTCATCATTAGTGAGAGATGATCGGCGACCAGGTGCCACCGGAGACGGCGGGGGTGCTCGGAAATCAATTACCCGATTCTCTGGTAAGGATTCCGGCGTAGTAGCCATTTTCTCCTCTAATCAAAACTTTTTTTCTCTTGCTGTAATTATAAAAGGGAAAAAAAGGGAGAGACAGTAATGATGAAAATGTTAGGATTTTGTGCAACAATTGGAGAATCAGCATGTCAGTTTCACTTTTTCTATATTTGCTTTACAGATCTTCATCACTGTTACTAATTATTCTTCATCCCTTTGAATTGATTACACACAGTACAATGGGCAAGGCATTTCATTAATCACGCACACCACTCTACACATGGATCAGTTCTTACTGGTCCGATTCAGCCGAAGAATATGTTAATAGGGTCCCTCTGCACTATTAATTCAGCTAGATAAATTCGATTCTTGATCGAGTAAAGTAGAGTCGAACATGTCGAAAGCACAAAAGGGATTAAGAATTTGTTCCAAAATTAAAAGTTAAAGCCTATATTAATATCCCCGAGACTTCCATTGTGTCGATCCAAGTTCCTTAAAATATTGTCTGACTGAGAAAAATCCCACATAATTTAGAACTGAAGAGACCCTTTCATGGACGATTGTAAGGTGCTTTGACTAATTGACTTGCAAAAATCTCCAGAAAAAAAATACAATTTTGATAAAAATTGCACGTCCTTGAAATATGTGGTTAAAATCAAAGTTTGTCGAACGAAAAAAAATTGCAAAACTTTATCGAACAAGTACTAAATAAAAGTAATCGCATATAAATGCACATCAGCTTTATGTAAAATATGAAAGAGTGTATACAATGAATAAAATTAATTTCGTATTTGTTTAAGAATGAGCGTTGTTACACCCTTAAACTAGCAAGGGGATACATGTAAGCGCCAACATAACAATGAACACTACGTAAGTCCTCAGTTGAAACGTATGTAGCTGAATTTGTCTTCATCATCTCCTTAAGCGAAGGTCGCCTCTATCCTCGACCATGATGTCATCCCTCAGGTAGCACTACCCTTTAGATGAACCCGTGATGGTCAAAGAACTTGGTGAAGTAGGCTTCGGAGTCACCCAATTCACAAAGAAGCCTTCCAGGAAATTACCTTATCAAGTCCATATAATCCAGTACGTTATCTGTAGGGATCAATCAGAATCCTTTGGGATCATCAATCTATGAAAGGAAACTTGGCTGCACAAGGAAACTCAAAGGAGGAAACCAATCATAACTAAACAAGGAGTTATACGAACCAATGAGAGTACAACACGTTGATTAGGATTCCACCTAATGTCTAGTTCCACAAGTATTCTTATCAGATAAATACAGACACACAAGTAAAGGTAAGCAATATTTTCATTATTATCTAAACTTTGGTCAAATTTCTACTTGTTTGTCTATTCCACATCCAATTCCCCCATATACAACTTGTGTCAATAGTTGACTTGACTAGAGTATCAACGATCGTCAACCTCTTTCTCCATTGTCTAGATGATCTTGGCATTAACGGTTCGTCCTAGTGTGTATGGAACATACAGGTCAATATGAATATGGCTGGAGATATGTTGATAGTAGGGTCCTAGCGATTTTTTAGGCCAACATGTTAGCGCTATAAGTGGAAATCTTAGTTCCAAACATTTTTAGATAATTATTAGGATAATTTAAAAATAAACAAAAAAATCAATCTTCATTGTTATCACATTCGAGCTTGATAGTGAGTTAATACTCTTCAGTTTAAGGTTATTTCCGAAAATGCACAAGTTGTGGACGAGGCGACCCCATCGACCATTTGAACATCTATAAGACAAAGTTACATGGGCCAATCCATGTTGTAAAATGCAAGAATACCACCTTGTCTACGGATGCGAAGCAGTGGTATGGTAAGCTGGTGCTCGAGAGCATCCTCAATTGCTACATTTAAGAAGGAATTTACCAATGGCTTCATAAGAAGCCGTGCTAGTTCCACGCTAGTGACCCGCTTGAATGATATTCAACATTGACTGCACAAGTCTGTGAAGAGATACTTCAAGAGGTTCAATAAAAAGATAAATAAAATTGAGAATATTTTGGAAGGAAGAACATAGGATGCACTATAAGCCAGTTTGAACGTAAAGACCCTTTTTTGGAGATGTGCGTAGTAGGAATCCGAAGACCTAAGCCCAACTGGTGGACATAATTCAGGTGAGAATCCGTGTTAAGGAGACCATTGAGGACTGTGAGAAAATGAGAGGCACAGCAGTGACGGACCCAGATTTCGAGTCAGGACGGACGACCGTGGATCGTCGGCAATAAAATATTAAGAGTCCCGTTTGATGCCCATTTTTTTGCAAAAAAATGTATTTTTGAATAATGATTTGATGGAAAATGTGTGGTTAAAAATAAGAAAAAAAATTTTAATTTGCATATAATATTATTTTATTGAAAAATGTGCGGTTGAAAGAAGAGAGAAATATGTATTTTGAAAAAAAGAAGAAATCAAACAAGGTCTAAAATTTAAATATAGCAATTATTTTGTTCCAATTGAACATATATAATTTTATTGTATTACTTAACAATATTTACCAAATGACATTGTAGCCAAATTTTGTATAAATCAAATGAAGAGCATCGAATTTTTACAATTGCATTAAAACTGCTAAAATATAACATATAGTATTCTGATAAATTTAATTACAAATTCTGTGAGTGCCGCAATGGTCAAGAGTTAACTTTCCTACGAAGAGGTCATGGATTCAAATCCTCTCCCTTATTCCATTTAATTTTGGTAAAATTGTATAATTAAAAATATTTGACAATAAAATTGTTGGGAGGGAGATTTGAATCGGGGACCTCTCACTTGAATATACAAGTTAATGCCAACTGAGCTACAAGAAATTTTTGAAAACAAAAGAACTTACAAGGTATATAAGCTTAAAAGATTCTTCATTGTCAACAAAAAAAAAACTCTTCCCGACGGATCAGCACGCGTGGCCACCGGGGCTCGTTGGGTGCTGGGTCCGCCACTGGGCACAAGGACAACTATAATGGCATCAGTTCGACAAAAGTTGCTGTTCTTTGCATCCATGCAATGATGATTACAATAGGTTTAATAACACCAAAACAAACCGTATTAGGGAAGTCTAAGGATGAGCACCCTTACCAAAATTTTGCATAATTCACTGAACCAAGGACTACAATACAAAAGACTGCCCGAAAGTCAAGGATCTAGTAGATCGTCAATAAGGCCACTAGGTTGCGAATGCTGGGAACAATCTTCATAGAGGCAGCGAAGACCTAGGCATTGCCATTGAGGCACCCCTGCCTACTCTGCAATACAGAAACCCGTTGACAAGAATGGAGAAGAAACCCACCGAACAATAACCCTCCAAGGCGAAAGTTGGCAGCAAACGGGGATCCCCTCATCCTCAAAAATCAACATAATCATTGGAAGACTATATGTAGTGGGTAGAGGAAGAACTCCCAATGAAAGTACATGAGGTTTAAACCTTAAATCTACATAAGTTAAACTTTCTATTTATTTTAATTGTTACTTGGCATCCCATGGTACACTGCTCCATTAATTTCCAAAACATCTAACGACCGAACTAACAAGTAAGTTGAGGGGAATAGGGGGTGAGTATTACGGAAAAATATTCAACAAGATGAGTAGTTTTCATCAATATAAAATTAAAGATGATAGACATCATACTCCATAACATATTTTGTCAAGAGTAGTCGATGTTGTGTTTTGTGACCCAAATCTGGTCCAATTTGGGTCTAGGGCTTCGCGTTGTGGAGTATTGGGCTTGAAGATGACAAAATAGGGTCCAATTTAAAGACGATTGACGGTGCTGGACGGACTCCCACTTATAGCTCGAGCGAAAGGAGAAAAATTGGAACATGGAGTTCGTTGCCTGCCTATCGCTGAGCTGTCGCTCGCTTCTCGCTCGAGCGACAGGCCCCTGATTTTTTCCTTCTTTTTCGGTTTTACACAATTTTTAACCTAGTTTCCATATTTTAGGTTAATTCTATGGTTTGGACATGTCTCCTATAAATAGTAGAATCTTCATTCAGTTTATACAGGAGAAAAGGTAGATGTTGTATTTTCTCTCCATTGGTTGTTATTAATAAGCTATTCGGATCTTCTACCAATTTCATTTTCTTGTTTGCTTTCTTTTAAATCTTGTTCTTATTTATTAGTCTGTGCGATCTGTACTTCATATCGTACCATATCATCTTCTCGAATTCCTAATAAGTGGTATCAGAGCCAAGGTTCAGCAGTTCCGCAGAGTAAGGATTTGATCGTTTGAGGTTTTTTTTGTTATTGATGGCTACCACGAAGTATGATATTTCGCTATTGGATCGCAGTACAAGATTTTCATTGTGACAAGTAAAGATGATAGCTATATTTATACAGATGGATTTGGATGATGCTTTGTTGGAATTTGAGAGGATGCCCACAACTTGGACAACATAGAAGAAGCAACAGAAGGATTGCAAGCCACTTTCACAGATTCATCGTCATTTATCTAACAACCTTCTTGAGGACATCTTGAAGGAGAAGACAACAGCTGCATTGTAGTTGAAACTGGAGAAATTGTGCATGACCAAAAGCCCAAACAACAAATTGCAACTAAATAAGAGGTTTTTTTCTCATCTCATGGCAGAAGGTCAATAACTAAAAGATCATCTGGCTGTGTTTAAGGAGATCGTCATTGATCTGAAGACATTAGAGGTAAAATATGATGAAGAGGATTTAGCCTTAATCCTGTTGTGCTCGCTTCCTGGTTCATTTTCATCGTTTAGGGACACGATTCTGTATAGTCGTGACATACTCACCATTGAAGACGTGTATGATACCTTGTTCTTAAAGGAGAAGATGAAACGTCTAGTTGGAGCTGGTTCCAGATATGAGGAAGCTCTTGTGGTTTATGGAGATCGACGAAGGGGCAAGTCGATGGTAGATTTAAGCAATAGGGCCTACTTTTACTGCAAGAAGAAAGGACACATCAAGAGGGATTGCGAGAAGTTGCAGGGTAAGGATAATTCAGCTGCAAATCATGGGACGCAATCAGAGACTTCGGGTGAAGCAGACATC